ATAAATACATTTAATTAATTAGCAATAAATTATGTGGATTAAAATTTGTTAAAGAAAGCAAAAAGTATTTAAACTTCAAATCAATTTGACATTTTTATTTCTCCATTCCCCAATCCAACATCCATCATCTTAACATCATCCCGAGAAGTTAACAAAACTGGAATATATTCATATTGGTTTTTGTTTTGTGTTTAGTAATAAGAAACCATAATAATTCTGAATTGAGGCAAATTTGAAGAAGTTCTATCTATATATATTGTTTCAATTAGGTTTTAATTTTAGAAATTTTCAGTTGTCTTAATTTTTAATATTTGACAGTTTATAGAAGTTATGAACTCTTAGGAGTCTATAGAGTTCAGAGAGTCTACAGAGTGTATAGAGTCGAGAGAGTCTATCTAAATTATAGAATAAAGTCTACTCTCTACGGATTAGATAAGAGTATATAAGGAGTATTACCTTTTTACGCTAAGTTATTAAATAGATTCAACTATTTAATTGAATATTTAGATTAGATATTATATATTTGTCTATGTATTAATACAGGCAAAGAAGGTGGTCTGGGTAGACTGAAGAGTTATGTTGATTCAGTTGATCTGGTTGTATATAAGAAAAGCATGGAGGTTGGAGCTCTATTTGTTGAGACATTAATTTAAAATTGTGCAGTTAGCTAATCCCATAACAAATTCAGCTCAGTTAAATTACAAGTAATTTGTTTTTCGCTTTCTATGAAATTAATTAGAATTAAGTTTTAAGAATGTATAAATCAAACGTGTAAATTCCATTTTAAATTTTCTTGTGATATATCATTGGTATATTTTGTTGAAATTGTTTAGAATTAGAAATGTTAGCAAAATAATAAATAGTATAGAAAAATATAGTTAAGTACTATTAGTTTAAAATAAAATTAGCTCTGGGGTTCACCGTTTAAGCTACAATTTAAGTGCAATTTTAGTCATTATATAATTTATTGACTTAATCAATTAACTTTTAGTACATCTACAACGGAAGAGGCAGCCAAGCCACGAGTTTTGCGTTTCACATGGTCTATGAAGACGACATCGCCACTGATGCCCGATCAAATTATGCAGAAGATAAGAGAAGTTCTTGATCAAAATAACTGCGACTATGAGCAGCGCGAAAGGTAAGACAGGCTTGATTTAAATATGTATATTTAATATATATAATTACATATATATTTCTATTCTTCAACAGATTTGTACTCTGGTGTGTGCATGGCGATCCCAATACGGATTCTCTGGTTCAGTGGGAAATCGAAGTTTGCAAATTGCCGCGACTCTCGCTGAATGGCGTTCGCTTCAAGCGTATTTCTGGTCAGCGAACAACTTTGAATAGCTTATCAAAATTGTTGATTTATTAATTGTTTTTTTTTTATTACACCATCTGCACAGGTACTAGCATTGGCTTCAAAAACATTGCGTCTCGCATTGCTTTTGATCTCCGTCTGTGACTTGACAAAACGCCTAATGATAGCTGCACAGCCACCACCAGCAACACCACCACCACCACCGATGGCAGCGATACGAAAACCACCTCCACTGCCAACTATCAAATGGCTGACAAATCGTTGCTGCGTCGATCATTTAGTCAACAGCAGAGATCAAACCGATTCAAGATTCGGAATCGACCGAAAAAGAAAAGCTCAGGCGGAGGCGGCGGCGGCGGCGGTGGCGGATTGCTGTTGTCGGCTTTTCAAGTATACTTGCCCTTTCGATCAAAGGAGGAGGAGCACACGAAATCACAAATCAAATTTGATGCGTTTCGCTCAGCCGATAACGAAGACGAGAGTGAGGGCCAACGGCTAGAGTCAATGCCCAGTAACAGCAGTAATATGGAATCTCAATGTAAAGACAACCAAGTGGCCAATGAAGAGGGGGGTGAGTGTGGCGTGGTGGCAATGGCTGGTGGCAGCAGCAGCAACGGCAGCGGCAGCGGTAAAGTCAGCAAAGGAAATCGATTTAAGAGAAACATCAAGAATACTAGAAGTCTAATTGTGCGCAAATTCACATCAAACAACTCCAGCTCGAACTCCAACTCCAACTCAGCAGAGAAAAAAACAGGCGAGACTAACAACAAGATGGCAGAGCAGCATGCAAATGCAAATGTTATGGATAACGATAAGCCAAACACCAAACAGAAAAAAGTAGCTATGTTACGCACCACAACTCTCTAAATAATAATAATTATCATAAAACAAAAAACATGCATAAAAACACACGTAAAAATTGGAGAGATCTGGGCGCTGCCCATCTCTCCCTCTATTTCTAAATATATATANGAGTTTCTTAATGTGTTTGCATAAATTCCAACAGCAACAGGGCTGAGTGAAAACTTGGCTGGCACAGAATAAGCAAAATTCATTTATATATATATATACATATGATATATGTATTTGGCTCCAATCATAGTATGAACACGTTTAGCATAGAATCTCAAAGTAAAATTAAATGTTTCATTGAACTATCGCATATTTGAATATCTTATAACAAAACGCAGACAAAATTGTAACCACAACTTAGGTAAGCACCAACAACAACAACAACAACAAGAACAGAAACAACAACAGCAGCAGCAACAGCAACAAACCAGAAGCATAAACGCATCCCATATATGAAGCTAATGTCTCATATGTAAACACACTTATTATATATTGATATTGATATCGTTAATTGCTAGAAAGCGTAGGTGAGAGCCACACCGTTTTAATTCAATAAAAGGTATATATATAAATATATATATATATAAAAGTATATGAAATGAAACAAGCATTTTCTTACATCAAAGAGGCAAACACACACAATTTTGTTAATATATACATATATAAATTTAAGATATTCTTTCTGTTTGTCAAAATTTACTGATTTGATCCAAAAATTAATTAATTATATAATAATTTTGTTGGTTTTTGCATGAGTGTCGTCTACTATACTATAAAATCTATAAAATTTCCTAAATTATTATTTTTTGATTGTTTATTTAATTCTTTCTCCACACGAGCTACAAGCGATATAAAAAGATGTAAATTGTATTTATCTAATTATAATTATTTAACCACTTTGAAAATTTACTGTTTTGCATTCAAATTTATTTTGCGTATTTACATTTAAATTGTCTATTTAGAGCTGGGATCCTCTTTCTTTTTAATTTATATCTCTTTGGCATAGGTGGAATTTACTTGATTTTAGGTTTAGATAGTGAAAACCGGTTACCTTGTTTTCTTTGTTACCTGCTTCAATTATTTTATTAAGCGGTTGCTAAGGTGAGTATATAAATGACTAGTGTAAGGCAAATTTGATCTAATTCAAAGTAGCAAATTGGAAGAATATTATTAATTCAGCTTGGAAAAAACAAACAAAAAATATATTTAAATTTAGCAAGCCTTTAGGTGATGTGTGCTGACGTCAAGCTAAATGAGGCCACACAGAATTAAGGCTCTCTTCCTGGCATCATTAAATACAGCATATAAAAGAAAATACGTAATTCATTATAATTCCATCAGCTGGACTTTTATATTTTTCAAGTTAATAAAAATACCAATATCTCGACTGTAAATTATCACAATAAATATTATGAGTAAATTAAAGATTTTAATTATGCATAAATTAAATGGAATCTCTTCAAGAAAATCTGTTTTCGATTAGAGCTCATCGTCAAGATCAAAGGTTTCAGCTGGAAAATCACCCACTTCCACGGAGAGAGGTGAGACAAAGCCACCATAATTTGGTTGACAGATAAAATAGGATTTGCCGTCAACACTGTAATGTATAAGTATATTTAAAAATGTTGTAAACATTTATCCCAATGCATTTACCTTCCGTTATTCTTGCCCAACGGCTCATCATATTGGACACCAATATATATGCCATTTTTACCCTCAAGTTGCCCATTGTACATTACAGTACCCCGACGTGTAGGATTTCCTGACACACTCACCTAGAGACAGAGAGAGAGAGAGAGGTAGATAGAGTGAGTTCTGATGAGTAACAACAGCAGCAGGCAAATTACCTGGCAACGACTGCCTACAACACAAAGATCTGCACGTCTTTGTATTTCTGCAGCCTGCTCACGCCGTTTGATTTCCATTTGCTGTCTTTCCTCCTCGTTGTATTTGCCCAGTCGATTTTGCTTTAAGAAACTCCGCACAGAATCCGATCGTTGCTCGTATTGATCATTTGAAAGCTCAAATTTTTCAACCGTCTCTGTATCAAATGTGAAGTTTGCAAAATTGTCAATAACATGCAGTCGCATGCCATCACAATTGATATAGAAACCCAGCTTGGCATCGTTGTCGCTTAGCGTTGTCACGAAATTGTCTCCCTTATACAACTCTACTTTCATGGTGCCAGCATTTCCGCCGGTTAAGATTTCCAATTTACTCTGCGAAAGCACAATTCGCACATCTGTTAATGTAATTTACAAAAAAGTGCTTAAATGCTTACCTTTAGCTGAGAGATGGTTAAGTCCTTGGCAAACTTGATCTCAAAGGCCACGGTATCATTATGAGAATTCGAGACATTAGCTGTAATAAAGCCTGAATCCGAATTGTTAATTTGCAGTATTTCCGACATGTTTAGCTTCAGCGTTTGTCGTCACTTTAAGGCTTAACCGATAAGTCTTCACGATGACCGATAATTTCCAATAACGAACGAGTTTTACGATTTGTTCGTCTAAGCTTTGATAGACTCACTAACCAGAGAACAGTGATAGACTTTAGTGGAAATTGTTGCTACGAATTTAAAAGTTTGAAGATATAAAATAAAAATTGAGTTTGAGGCAGTCTGATTTCTGGTAAAAAAAATCACTTGTACAAATATATATAATTTTTCATAGTAAGAAAATATTATTGAAATGACTTTTCCAATTAGAAAAAAACCAACCAGTAAAAATCGATTCTGATTTGGTCCATACACATAAGTATATCGATGTTTTTGTACATCACTAATTAATACACAAATCAGCTGCTTAATATCCTTAAGATCGTGATTAAGTTATGTGAATTGATGGCTATGCAAATTAAATGGCATTTGTTTATAAATATGCCAGTATATAGAGATAATATGATACATGATAAAACGTAAAGTAGTAAACACAGCGATAAAATGAATAAGTACACAAGTTTATTAGGCATTGAACAGCGAAGCAAAACTATGTATCATCCAAAGGAACAAATTTTAAATATCTTGACATACATACTTTTGCTCGTAGTTGCCGTGTGTGCAATTGTTCTGCTATGTGACTTATCTAGTCAGCGTGATGGATTCTTTTACTCCAAAAAAGATGGAGCCGTACTCGATCTATCCATATCACATACTCGGGAAGTGCTTCTGCGCCCGGACGCGGAATATCGTGGACGAAATGTGAATTGCACTTTTTGGGATTGCTTAAACATTTACAAATGCGAGCATGACACACTCAAGGTTTACATTTACCCGTTGCAAGAGTTTTTGGACGAGAAAACCGACAAGGCTGCCAGCACGCTGTCAAGCGAATACTTTCAAATCTTGGATGCCGTGCATAAGAGTCGCTACTACACATCGAATCCCAATGAAGCCTGCCTTTTCCTGCCGAGCCTGGACTTGCTGAATCAGGATGTGTTCGACAAGCATTTGGCTGGCCCAGCGCTGGCTTCGCTCAACTTCTGGGATCGTGGAGAAAATCATTTAATCTTCAACATGCTGCCGGGCAGCGCACCCAACTATAACACCATCTTAGACGTGAACGTCGACAACGCCATTGTTTTGGGTGGCGGCTTTGATAGCTGGACATATCGGCCCGGATTCGATGTCTCGATACCCGTTTGGAGTCCATTGGTGCATCAAACCAACTTGTTGCCTGCCCACGCCGCAGCTCATCGCAAATATTTATTAGTTTCTGCTCAGCTGAATCTGTTTCCGCAGAATCTGCGAACTCTTACGGATCTAATGTTGACAGCTAAAAGCGCCGATCAAATTCTAATGCTTGGACTCTGTGATAACAAAGATTTGAAATCTCGCTGCACTCTGACAAAGGCAAATCCGAAGCGATGGGAATACCCACGTGTGCTGGGACGAGGCAAGTTCTGCTTCCTCGGACGCAGCCTACGCATTGGCCAGCCCGACTTGATCGAGATAATGTCTCAGGGATGTATTCCTGTGATAGCCATTGACAACTATGTGCTACCCTTTGAGGACGTCATCGACTGGTCTCTGACGTCCGTTCGAGTGCGAGAGTCGGAGCTGCATTCAGTGATGCGCAAATTGGAAGCGATTTCCAATGTCAAAGTTGTTGAAATGCAGAAGCAGGTGCAATGGCTCTACAGCAACTACTTCAAGGATTTGAAGACAATTACAATTACTGCTTTGGAGATACTTGAGAGTCGCATATTTCCCCTGCTGGCCCGCAGCAGCCGGCAATGGAATGTGGTTAAGAGAAATAGTCGTTCAACCTTTAATCCTCTATTTCTTACGACTCTCGCTCCAAAGTCTCAAGGCTTTACAGCTGTTATTCTGACCTATGATCGAGTTGAGAGTCTATTCCTTTTGATACAGAAGCTAGCAGTTGTGCCATCGCTGCAAAGTATTCTGGTTATTTGGAACAATCAGAAAAAGATGCCTCCACATTGTAAGTTTATTATATTATAAATCCGTATTCAATATCAATTAATATGATTTCCTCTTCTTATATTTTGTACTAGTATCAACTTTCCCAACAATATCCAAACCACTGAAGATCATACAGACTCGTGAGAATAAACTCTCAAATAGATTTTATCCCTATCCTGAAATTGAAACTGAAGCAATACTAACAATAGACGACGATATCATTATGTTAACCAGCGATGAACTTGATTTTGGGTACGTTAGTCATATGATTTTCAACTATCCCATTCTATATAATCGTTTCCTTTAGCTATGAAGTGTGGCGCGAGTTTCCGGATCATATTGTCGGGTTTCCCAGTCGCATTCATGTATGGGACAATGCAACGATGCGTTGGCACTACGAATCTGAATGGACCAATCAAATATCAATGGTGCTTACTGGCGCAGCATTTCATCATAAATACTGGAGTCATATGTATACGTATGCCATGCCAGGCGACATTAAACATTGGGTCGATGACCACATGAACTGTGAGGATATCGCTATGAACTTCCTTGTAGCGAATATCACAAACAATCCGCCAATTAAAGTAACGCCGCGAAAGAAGTTCAAGTGCCCCGAGTGTACAAATACGGAAATGCTGTCAGCCGACTTGAATCATATGCGGGAACGTTCGGCTTGCATTGATCGATTCGCCAAGATCTATGGACGAATGCCTCTGCGCACAGTTGAGTTCAGGGCAGATCCTGTGCTATTTAGAGACAATTTCCCAGATAAATTGAAACGTTACAATGATATTGGGAGCTTGTAAACCATTAATAATTATATAAATATCATATATATTACAACTAGTAGACGAAATTACTCAAGACTTAACCAAATATGATATATAAATCAATGTTATCTGGTATTGTAGCAATGGTGAGACGTTTAGGATTTACGTTCATAATCAGTTTTTAAGTTGTAATCAAATAATAGGAATAGAGAATATGTTGATGCCATAGAGAACTTAATTTATTTCATTTAAGAGAGTAATTGCTAATATATGTATGTAATTCAAAAATAGATCCTGTTATGATTTTCCTATATTATAGACTTATATGGATGTTGGCAAGAGTTTACTGAAAATAATTATATCATATTCGTATTAACTGACATTAAATAATGGATAATTTTCACTCAAACTTTAAGTCAATTCTCATAAACTTACCTGTAAATTTTTATAAGAATGTAGAAACAATATTGCCAAAATTATGCAACAGAATTTCTCGTGCTGAGCAGAATTTAAAATTTATTAAATATGTATATAAATGTTTAGGGGCCATATTATGAAAATGCAAAATTCTAAGGCTGGATTTCACTGTTTAGTTGAGAAATTAGAATAGTTTTTATAATATCAATTAGGGGCAGTCAATTCTACGCTCCATTAACAGAAGCCAGATATTCTTTATAGCGTTGCTCCTGCTGTTGCTGGAGCTTTTGAAGTTTCTTGAGTTGTCCTTTGCTAATCTCTTTGCCGTCTTTGTCATGTGTGGGAAGGCCCTAAAAAGCATTTTTTATGAAATATGTATTTGCTTCTGCAAATTAGATATGTATTTGTGTTTAACTTACATCTTCGCCAAATGCCGAGTACTTTTCGGTTTCCTTGAGAAACATTTCTTTTGGATTAACGCGACGTTGAGCTTCCTTGGCTGCTGCTGCCTCTGCCAAGGCTTGTTTCTTGCGCTCTTTTTCCAAAGCCTTTTCCGCTTCAGCTGCCTGCTTGGCCTCGCGTTCGCGCAACAACATATCCCGGTCAACCAATTTGACGGCATACTTGCCATCATCTTTATCTTCCAAGCGAACACCCAAATTGGGTAAGACATCATCACGGAGATCGTCACATAGCTTCAGTATGTCAAACGCTTTCAATGCCTTCGCTTGCTCACGCACTAAATTACGGAACTCGGCCACTGATTGGACGTATGGCATTACTACGGCCTCGTGATCATTGGTTGCTGAATCGGAATCAGCTCCTCTCAGCGGGAATCCTATGCCACCGCGCGGACCGGCAATTGCTCCAAATATGTGCAACAGGTCCGTCACATAGATGGCTATCTTCCGCAGTAACAGGCTGTTGAGTCTGGATTTATTGTCTCGTATGTAGACATTCGTCGTTGACACCAAGTCCCGAACACAATCTAAAGCGCTGCGGGTATCAATGTTATCTGAAATAGGCAAAGATATAAACATATACATAATTCAAATATAAAAACTTACCACAAAGAGCTGCATGAACTTGTGCCTGGGCTTCGTTATATTTGGCTTGTAGGGCCGCCTCCACAGCCGTCCACTCACTAAACTGCTGCATGGGCTCTCCAGATAACACTTGCCGTGTTAGATCTTTGACATTCAAAAAGAATTCCTAAAATCAAATGTGAATTTTACCTCGTGTATAATATTTGGTTGCTTTAAGCTTACATTGAGGAATTTCTCATACTGAGTTGCCATTTCCATGGTGTTTTCGGAGTAGTCGAGCGTGTCCTTCCAAGAGTGCAACAGGAATGCCAGACGCAGCTGCGTTGCTGAGTGCTTTTTCAATGCCTCTTGAATTGTGACAAAATTCTTAAGAGACTTGGACATCTTGCAGCCGGCAATTGTTAGGTGACCTGTGTGCAAGAAATACTTAACCCATTCTGATTCACCAAATGCGGCCTCGGACTGAGCCAGTTCATTGTCATGATGGGGAAACTTTAAATCGACTCCGCCAGTGTGTATATCAAATATGGATCCAAAGATATCTGAAGCCATGGCGGAACACTCGATATGCCAGCCAGGACGACCACGACCCCAAGGACTATCCCACCAAGGTTCACCAGCCTTGCTCGCCTTCCACAGAGCAAAGTCGTTGGCCGATCGCTTCTCTGAGAGTCGATCCTCAGTGACGGACAAGTCACCCTCGCCTTCCTGCAATGATGCTGTGTCTCCGTAGGCCTCGGGCACCAGCTTGGCGTAGTGATGCTTATCGCGTTTGTCAAAGCCATTGACATCAAAGTAGACGGAACCGTTTGCCTCGTAGGCAAGGCCATTGTCAATAATACGCTGTATAAATGCTACAATCTGAGGCACGTACTCCGAAACTCGCGTTAATACATCAGGTGGTAGAATCTGAAATTATTCATCAATATATTACGAATGTTTCAATAAAGCTAGCTAGTTGACTTACATTGAGTGATTTCATATCATTATGAAATTTATCTTCCCAAAATCTGGGTAGAGCTTCGAAGACGGAATTATCATTAACATGAGCACCTTGCTTTCCATCTAGCCACTCAGCAATGGGATCCTTCGCTTCAGCCAAATAATGGCATCTCATTTTAGTGATTTCTGCTTCGTTGCCAGTGCTGACAGCTTTGGTAAGACCTTCGACTGCGTCGTTCATACGTTGCAACATCTTTTCAAGCATTACTTTCTTATCAGCATCTGTATTTTTATCACACTTGACTTGTAATAAATTGAGTACTTCTTTTTGCTCGTTAAGCAATTGCTCGAGTGGCAGCTGAGCAGCTGCAGTTGCATACTGCTCAAATAGATAATATTGACGGGCTCGCTTTATAATTTTGTCGTCGATATCCGTAATGTTCATGACATAGTGGATATTGTAGCCAAAGTAGTCGGCCAATATACGTCGCAAAATATCAAATGAAATGTAAGATCTGTGAATCACACAAGCATAACAAGATTAGATAGGGAAGATGACGAGCATGCTGATGTGGCTCCTCACCTAGCATGTCCCATGTGCGAGGCATCGTAGACAGTCGGGCCGCAGCTATACCATTTAACATTGTTTCCGTCCAATGGTACGAATTCCTCTTTTTGTCTGGTTAGACTATTGTACAATTTCAATTGAGGCCTTGTTGAGGCTTTTGGTGCTTGCCACACCGGTTGCACACGTTTAGACATTTTGGGAATTCCTTTAATAGCGTTATTAAATTCCAGCACGATTACTAATCGATGATTAATACTGAATGAAGTATTTTTGAAGTCAGCTGTTTAACTCGTTTACTGAGTCAGAGTTGCTAACAAAATATCGATATGCCAGTCCGGCAAATTCTTATGGGACAACATATTTTTCAAATTCGCTTCAAAGATTCACTGTGATTCTTAAAAAACGTTCCCCTTATTTATCTTTTTGTATTTATTGATATATGGCCCCCAAAATTATTGAATACCAATTCAAAACATAAAATTATTAATATAGGTAGTAAAATTAGTGTCTAAACTAGTTGCAGAAAAATGTATATTTTTAGCTTAGGAAGCAATTAAATATCAGATTTTATATTATTTGTCATAAATACTTCGTTAATGCTAGCATTCATATGTCTAATTGCCGCCAATGGGCTGTGATTTACAGGCAATCATATACACTGGAAAAAGTCCTTTCGGGAAATTTTGTTGACGCACTTTCCTTACAATTCGAAAGCCAGCTTCTTTTAAATAGCGCTCATATGATTCAAGTGGACGCGTAATTGACGAATCCTCGTCATCCTTTATCACATTTTTAGATGTACTGACGTTTTCCTTAATGCAAAAGTAAGCACCAGGCTGCAAACTAAGCCGCATGCGACGAAAAAATGCCACAAGATCCGGATCCGTCAGATGCCCTAAAACCCATTGACTCCAGATTAGATCATATTTATGAGTGGGTGAGAATTCCTGAAGTCCCATATTGTATATTTCGCCCAGGCTATTACGACATACGGACTCTGATGTGCATATCTCTCGGGCCTTCTCAGCAAACGCGGCATCTTGTTCAACCAGATCAACCGTGTTGAACATTGGTATTAAAAGATTTCGTGTCACTCGTCCAATTCCAGCACCGCAGTCCAGAGCTAATTTCTTGCCTGGCACTTTAAGTTCACGTAGAAATATCCTTGACCCTTGTATATCGATTGCGCTTATGTAGCCAAGACCACCGAGCATCCCGTTTACGGTTGCTGGCACTTCCGACCAATACTTTTGCGCCTTGTTGTAGAATTCAGGCACAACCTTTTCATTTTTCAAGTTGTTGGGGCTTTCAGCTTCGTGTTTCTCTTCCAGCACTACATCTTTATAATTGTTTACCTTTGGCAAATTTTGTGAGTCCTCCTTGTCACAGGCAGTCACAGGATTTGTATATAACTTAGAATACATTTTCGTTGTTGTATAATTCTAGTCATGAAATTTGTAGTTAAATTCTAAGTAGTTAAATTATCGACAAAGCCACTTACCGCATACTTAGATTAATTTATAACAAATAAATGTGCGCAGGGCTGCATCATAATTATTTTTTAAAACTAGTTCTTAGGAGAACCAAACAAAGCTCGTTAAAGCAAATACTTCGATTCAAATATTTAACTGAATTGCATAACTAATCGAATAGTTTAACTTCCATTATATTTGCTTCAACAGTTTATTCAGTTTCCATATATTGTCGAACCTATAAACATCGCACTTTTTATTTCCATATTTCAAATGCTCACAGAAATTACAAGATAATTAATATCGATATCCAATGTATTCGATACATTAGAGAAAGAAAAATAATATCAACAGGCGTATATTTTTGTTAAGCTGCATAAACTTTATAAATTTATTTACCTACTAATAAATATGACTCTTGATGTCGATGCTCAAAAGAAAGATGATAAACTACTACTTGCAACAATACACCAGGAATATAAAATTCACGCGGAATAGTAAGAAAGTAAAAATTTTCATTTCCAAAACAATAACAATGACTTTTTTATAGCAAAATGATTGAGTCAGAAAAGGTCTCAGGCATCTATGTAATTCCGAGCTATGCTAATTCGTTGCGTGAGTATATTTATATTGCGGAGCATCAGCATCGAAAGTATAATACTTATTTAACTTAATTTTCTTAGAATGGTTTGGTGTGTTCTTTGGTCGACAAGGTTTCTATGAAAATAGCGTATTTCGCTTTTCAATACTCTTGCCAGATGGTTTTCCGGAGGATAAAACCACTCCAGTAAGTACCTAATTATGTATATTTTATACTTTTTATAACGATATGTATGTAATTTATTCATTGAAGGCCATTATTTTCCAACAAAACGTTGTGCATCCACTTGTGTGTCCTTTCACAAACAGCTTAGACATCAGTCACGCATTCCCGGAGTGGAGATGCGGAGAAGATCACCTTTGGCAAGTGCTGAAGTACATGCAAGTGATATTTGCCGATCCCTTGGAATGCATACGTAGTGTGGGCAATATCCAGGAGCTCAGCAACGTGGAAGCAAGCAAGCTACTGACCACTAACCGAGACGCATTTGCTGCACTTGTTCAAGAAAGTATTGCAGAAAGCAAAGCTCACATCTATGATACGCCACCCACAGAGGATCCGCATTATATAGTATTTGAAAAATTCCAAGAGGACATACATGGACCAGTCTTGGAACAAATACGAAACGGAAGGACCACAAATTCGCCTGCAGAAAGTGGAGGCGGAGGCGCAGCCACTGGTCTATCATGGGTTAAAGTTAAAGAAGGCGAATTTAAACCGTTAAGCATTGAATAGTCATAACAATCGATATATGTGCGTAAATTATATAACATTCTATTAGTTAATTAATATCCTGCAGCCTCCTGAGATCTATAATTCAGACTTCTTTATGAACTTTTCACAGTTTTTTATCCACTCATGCTCCAGCTCTAGTTCAGTGTCATCCCAATGAAAATGTGTGGGCGGTTTGTCATCACTAGAAAACACGAATCTCTGGCTGAGCTCGATGGCCAATTTAGACCGCACGAGACCAATGCCACCAACTTGGGGCCACGCTGGATGATACACTCGTCCGGTTTGCGGGTGCATATAGAGTTTATGTGGCTGAAAGGGAATCGACAGATCTGGACCACCATGTGCATATGTTAATATATGATCAGTTCGCCCATCTGCATCCTTTTTTAGGTGCTCAGTAAAAACAATTGGCGTATCATCACAGCGAATATAATTCCGTTCACGACCGCAAGGCGACAAATAGGGAAACATTTCATAACGCTGTGTTTCATTGAAGCGCAGGCGGCTGAAGAAGAATTTTAGGAATTTCTTCTCTTTAAAACAAGATGTGAAGTTTTTCATTTTGGCATCGTCTAAAAAGAGCTGCAAGTGAAAAGCAAAAGGGCAACAAGAATAACGGCACATATGCATGCATACACCTACGCCCATGCATATAATAGTATATACATGTCTGTACCTACACACCATGCCTTCGTGATCGATGTAATAGAAGTACTCGCGTATCCTTGGCTCAGGCGACTGTCCCTGGGTATAGAGCGCGACAGTGCGCCATGGCATCCAATTGAATTTCCAATTTTTAAACACTAGGTTCTTCGTGTGGAGTACAGCAATACCTTGATCGAGGAAAGAAATCGATCAGCGGATTGTTTACAATATTAATATAGTACATTCATATATGCATGATCCATTTTTAATGTACGCGTGTATATTCAGAATATTTAACTGGAATTTTTTAAAATTACATCATGTTTATTTATATGAATCCTCGGGATAGAGGTGCAAGTCTATTTTTTCTTTTTATCATTAGTACTGCCGGTCTTTTGCATACGCGCCACTTGCATGTTCTTTAGCTTTTCATTTAGCTTCTTTTTGGCATTTTTGTGCTCCTCTTCTTGGCGTATGGTCTTCAATGGCTTGGGATGCAGAAATTCTTTTCGGGCTTCTCGCTTTTTTATCTCGCCACAGCCGTGAACTTCGGGGAGACCGTGCTTGAAACAGAAACGTTTGCTGCAGTGTTCGCAGTCCTGGCCCATTAGGCTGGTTCTGGTCTTGCAGCGTGGATAATCGCACAAATTATCTACTGTTTTAACGGCAGTGAGTACTTCGTCCAGCTTGAGATCGACCACTTGGCTGGGTATGCGCTCCAAGAGCTCCAGTGTGTTGTTCGTGCCATAATTGGCTGGTTTACCAGGCTTAGTTGGTGGAAAAAGTGGCGCACTGTCTTCATTGGCTGAAGGCGATGCATTGCTACTGGTGGCTTTTTGTTGTTTCGCCTTGTCTATATATGCTGCACTTAGTGAAATGTTTTTCAACGATTTGAATATAATTATTACCTGCCATTGTAAATTGATAAGCTAAACAAGACTTTCGTCAATTTTAGACTCACGTTATACAGCACTGTATAGAATATTTACGAGAACAAATTCGGCATTTTTTAGTATATTTTGTTAAATCAAAAGAGAAATATACAGGGTGCTCTATTGTAGAACTTTTCAGCTATAAACCCCTAAACAAATTGAAATAATTAAAATGGTTGAAAATACATATGTTGAGCTTGAATTTTAGTTAAATAATGAAATCTTATTTGTTGCTCTTTTAACTTTTTTTTTTTTTTTGTAAGATACATAGATGTGTAATATTAATCGATACACAAAAACTGATACAAAATTCTGATTGAAATATATGTCTGTCTATGTTTCGAATCAAATAGGCAATACAGATAAAACCTAGTATGAAGGTGAAAATAACAAACACAAGAATTCGATTACATATTTATTTGATTAATGCATTTCAGTTGACATTGATTACAAATTTACTATAAAATGCTAAGCAGAGCTATTAATACACTTGTATAATTCTAGAAAATGCAATCTCCTAATGCATGCGGAAGTGAAGAACACCATTCTTTAAGAATTGATTCTCGTTTCTTATAAGTTAGCTGGAGTTAAGGTCACAGCTGCATGAATAGCCTTTGCCACATATTCAATATTTCCAGTATTCAGGCCGCACATATTTATTCTGCCAGTTTTCAGCAAATAAATGTGATACTCCTTGATCAGCACGGCTACTTGTTTCTCATTGAGGCCCGTGTAGGAGAACATGCCAATCTGGTTGACAATGTGGTCCCAATTGCCGGGTGTTCCCAATTCCACGAGCTTGTCTCGCAGAAGTTTACGCATTTCCCGGATGCGACTCGACATTGCCTTGATGCAGTCCATCCACTCTTGACGCAGTGCAGGTGTATTCAATACCTTGGACACAATGCGAGCTCCATACGCTGGTGGATTTGAGTACAGGCCGCGAATGAGAAGAGTTATCTGCGAATGGATCTGGTCACGGGTGGCGCCGCTTCGCTGTACTATCGTTAAGTTTCCAACTCTCTCGCAGTACAAGCCGAAATTCTTAGCAAACGATTGGCAAACGAATAGCTCGAATCCACGATCCACAAAGTAACGTATCGCCCAGGCATCCAGATCTGGATCGCCGCTGGCAAAGCCCTGGTATGCCGAATCAAAAAGTGGGAATAGTTTCTTCCGCTCAATAAGATCGGCAATTTTCTTCCATTGGTCCTGAGTGGGATCCATGCCCGTAGGATTGTGTGCACACGCATGTAAGATAATGACTGCACCAGCTGGCGCCTTATCTAAATCAGCGAGCATGCCCTCCAAATCCAGCTGACGTTTGTTTTGGTCCCAATAGCGATACGAGCTCAGACTGGTAAATCCGGTATCGGCAAAAATCTTGTGATGATTCTCCCATGTCGGATTCGAGTAGTATACAGTGTTACGCTTTAATTGACGAAGCAGAAATTCAGCAGCTACGCGCAGAGCTCCTGTTCCAGAAATCGTTTGCACACCAAAGGCCTGCAATATAATAAATGGGGAATATATGTAATATAAAAAATATAAAGTATACGACTACATACTCGTTGCTATTGCTCTTCTCCCTATCATTAATTTTATATTTTGCACTCAAAGCCTTTTATTCTTTTTCTACTCATCTCTATTATATATTTAAAAATATATCTCTGTTCCATTGTACGAGTACAGTTCATATGGAAAACTTACACGTTTCTCTTTTAATGCTATTGAGTCCGCACCTAAGACTAATTCAGTTGCTGCACGCGTAAACGTATCCAATCCTAAAATATATATGTACATATGTTATTAGTCAAGCGCGTGTTGGTATTATCTCAAAACTCACCCGTTACTGGCAAATACTCATGATTAATTGTCTCATCGGTCGCGATGGACACTTCTGTTTTTCTTACCACAGGCAGGACCCATGGCTGACCCTCATTAGTTCGGTAAGCTGTTAATGAGATAAGCCTTGGATTATATATTATAAAAGAGAAATTGAGAAGTTCTTAATATTAAAATGACAATCATGTTCCATTTCTTAAAAATTAGGGAACCAGACACAAATATTAAGAGATGTTAATTATTTAAAGGGATCTTAAGAAAGATCTATAATTTCATATTTCTTTAAGATGTTTAAATAAAACAAATCTACTACAAATTCAAGAAAAAAGATTCATAAAAATGCCAATCAATATCAATTTGTTTCCATTATGGGGTGCCGGAAAAATATGTACATACAAATATATATATATACATATATCTCGGTGCGTTTATTAAAGACAAATCAGCTGATATTTGATAAGATACGAGCCAATGATTAGGGAATAAAGGTCACTTCATACAAATTCACTGCAAATGATTATTGAGTATTATTATTTGGATCACAGTTCATAATCTGTTACACAGAACTGAAAACAATTTGATATTTTGACTAAACAATTGACGTAGTTTAACTTATAATATATGCATAGAAGATTAAACATGTATATAAGTATGTGTGCATGCGTGCACACATAAACTAATTTAGTTGAATTTGTTTGTAGGTATGAAAACATAAATAGAAATTTGGGTTCATAAATACATTTATTGTCTATGCTATATCCATAAATCTTGTATTATATGTATGTATAGGCATTTGTAAAGATATATGTTTGTATGAATGGTCATTTTTAACCGGCTGTTGAAAAGAATAGCAGTTCATTGACTGAAAGATTTGACATCCAAATGCCCTCTATACGAAGCTTACTTGCTATCTAAGCTCTATATATATGTACATACAAACATATAAATACAATATTACAAGCACCTAGCCATACATACCTACACGTAAGCACATATTACATACATACATATTTATTTAGCGGAACACGAACTAGAGATGCGCCGCCAATTAGAACAGCATTCAAAACGAATGGAATACTTTAATAAGCACTTATATTCACATGCATACATATATTTATCTATATTTATAGTGCATTCCATTTATATTTCTTGTTTAGCATCCAAACATGTACATATGTATTTATATATAAAGGGATGTAACGCAAGGTCAAATTACCGGAATTATATAAATATGAATATATGTATGTACATATATATTAATATTTATATTTATAACTATGTTTGTTTAGTGTCACAATACTTACCGCCTACGGACAAATTGACTTTCGGTGTACTAACATCATCCCTAAATGCTTGCGTTAAGGCAAACACTTCAATTGCCGGTCCTTGTTGCACATCGGCATAAATTGATGAAGCCATCGTACGTTGCAGATCCACGCGAAACGTTTATAATAAATAAAACTTTTACGTCGGCGAAATTTGATTGTGAATCAGCGAATTATCGATATACTCGATAAGTCATATATCGATATAATAGTAAGGCCAATAGTATAAAACAATATTTATTCTCTTGATGGGTTTAATATTTCATTTATTTAATGTTTGAAGGCTTTATTCAGATGCTTAATATTGTCAGTTAAATAACTAATCATATTTTTGAATGAGCAACAAGTGTTTAGTGCTTAAATTAGGAATTCTGATTTAATCTCGCACTGGCCACACCTAACTTAAAGTGGCGCCAAAAAATAAATAAAACCTTGATATAGATAAAAATTTTAAAAGTACATTAGAAAAAATTTTCACTTTTTAACTGTGGAAATAATTACAGAATAACTCTTTTTTCTTCAATATATTTTGTGAACATAAAAATGTAATTTATACACATTTATAAATGAATAGTAATACCACCAACCATAGAACACGGTTGGTGGTAGTACATAGCAGGCAGCAATCGTCAGCAACATCTAAACAAAAAAATAACATCTATCAATAGTTAAGTTAACAACATTTCAATTCTTTTAGGTCTCGTGACTAAATTCCATCTAAAGTTTGTACTTATCGAAAATTTCAAAGACCATCAGTCCTATGGATCCAAGAAATGAATACTAAAAAATGAACCGATATCGCTATTTAAGGTTTAAGATTAAGTAATTTTTAATACCACGTAATTTTTTTTTTATAGTATTTTATCTATTTCGCAGAATCAAATTTAATTTATTTGCGGTATTTGATACTTTTTCTTTGTGTATGTGCTATCTGTGCTATCTAATTAAAAATAAAGTGGTCCTTTCTATAATAAGAATCATTTTATGAGTGTATATATGCAATACCCTACAAATATGTTCAACGAACGAAGGTCACGAATTAAGCGCCTCAATTGGATTTTATTTATTAGAGGCTCAAAGATGCCGATTTTCTATAACAATTTCACAATAGACTGCGTGTGGGATATTTTGAAAATTTGAATATTGTTTCTCTGCAAATTTATGTAACCAGTACATGTGTAATAATAAAATTTGTAATTGTAATAATAATAATTGTGAATTTTTTATTTGTAGTAAACGACGATAAAGTAATATACATTGCCTGATTTACTTATTCACGCTAACCAGTTCCAGGTCAGCTCATTGGCCTCATAGCCTTGTAGAGTTCTTTAACCCACTAACTGATCATCCGTTTTGGCTCAGTATGTGACGATCTGCCCCTTTTCTGACTTTCACACGTTGTGAACTGCGCATTTTAGGAACAAAATGTGGTCGGTCTTCCCTGTTTTTCACAAGTTAAATGAAACAAATTAAATTAAAAAAATAAAAATAAAAAAAACAGGTATGCGAAGTAAGAAATACTTTGCTAATAATAAAATTATTCACAAATTTACTCAAAATAAAAGTACTTTAATTGCCCCCCGAAGCCAAGTTACAAAATACCTAGGCGCTTCGGTAGGCATCGCGCCAAATATTTGAAATTTTTTCTCTCATCCTTTACTCATTAACTCAACAGGCTTCAGCGCTCAAATAAATGTTATTGTGCATGTGTACTGCTTATTTACACAAAAAATATATTCTTCGAATCCCAACAACGTTTTGTTACTCTTTCCTAAAATACTTATACAAAAACGAAAACTTTGAAATGAGTATGACGAGCCCTTTAACATTGTAGCCATACTTCTCTCTTAGAATAAAAGTGTCAACTTTTGTGCAATGCTGCGTAAATGCATGCACATATACATATTCAAATTTGAGAGAGCGGCGGAGAGTAAACTGAAACTGATGAAGTGAAACTGGTAAAGAGATAGTGGCGATCTCGCTCGATCGCACTATGCAAGATTACATGGCTTTTTGAGAGTATAAGACTATTAGAGTATAAGAGCGTGTGTAATGAGTAGAAAGTGGTAGAAGTGGTTGGCGGAATCTGCTCTACACATTTTTTGCGGGTTGTAACTGATTATTCTAGACTACACATCTATGTATGTGTTGTTTGTTTAGTGATTCTATGCACACACATATGTATGTATATGCATGCATTCGAGTCAAAGCCTACACACATACATAGGTACGGCTGAAAGCTTTTCCCTGCTTTTGCTACTAGCACCTTGAAACTTGGAATATTTGTTCACGTAAAATAAAGTCGAACAAAAATGTAAAAATTATATAATTTTATATGCATATCGAATATGTGACAATATCTATATCTTCCACAGCTGTCGTGCAAGAGCATTGAACCATCAAAGCTGCTTAGTTTAATTTCTAATAAACTTAAATGTTTGTTGGTTGCTAATAGCAACAGAAATTTGTTTATGACGAAGGCTTGGGCGTATGGACTATACATAAGATAGTCGAGAATTCCAGTTCGATTGCAAAATGTCAAAGGCAACAACAATTAAGGAAGCGCTGAAACGTTGGGAAGATCGAGAGCAACAAAATTCGCTGACTGCCAAACAAATAGATTTGCAATTTCAATGGCCACCGATTGAGAAAATGGATAATACATTAGGAACGCTAGTGTGCTGCGAGTAATATCCCAATCCAAAATTATTGAAATTCAATATTGAAATTCCATATATTGCAGAAGAATCAGCTTGTCAACAAATATGATTGAGAAAATTTTTGGTCTGTCTGGCATGAAATGTTTGAAGGTTTTATCCTTATCGCGGAATTATATTAAGCAAATATCAGGATTGGTACGTTACTAAAGATAGTTATTAAATACACATTAGTTATCTACTGATATATACTTACAAATCTAATATTTAGGAAGCTGTTGCGGAAACATTGGAAGAACTCTGGCTTAGCTACAATCTTATTGAAAAACTAAAAGGTTTGAGTGCTCTGAAGTGTCTGAAGGTGCTTTACATCAGTAATAACTTAATCAAGGATTGGTCGGAGTTTAATCGCTTAGCCGAAATAGAAACTCTTGAGGATTTAGTGGTTGTGGGCAATCCCTTATCGGAGGGCCTAGATGAGCCCACTTGGAGAGCTGAGTGTATCAAGCGCCTGCCAACTATACGAAAACTAGATGGCGAACCAGTTGTTCTTAAGGAAGAACCAATACTTTAAAAAGGCTAAACTATGAATGAATAAATGCGAATAAATGTGTATGCATACTCAAAGCGGTTTTTCAACAAATTAAATAAATATACTCAAGGCATCAGCCCAACACAGAAGTCAAGGTATCTTCCAGTCAATCATACCCGGCCACGCGCTGTTCAAAGATCTATTCAACAAGGTTGTGAACTTCTAAGCTTCACCATATTAACGCCATGCATTAGCAAAAAATCTTATCAACATCGGATGACTATATTATATAGCTCCTATAGAAACAGTCGCCCAGAAATCAAATGATTCTACAAAAAGGAAAAAAAATTAATACTCATTTTTTATTATATTCGCATAGGTACATATTTAATCTCTTGAATACCTTTCATTTCGAATATAACCTAATTCTGCTAATAAACCATCCAAACATGAACATTAATCACTTGGGGACAATTTAACATTGGCATTTCCAAGAAATAAATATAATATTTCATAGAGCTCTACGTGGCCCCCAGACCGTACTAGATAAAATTTGACCCAAGAACTGTTTCCCCGTGCCACGCCTTGCCTTTAATGAATTATTTCGTTATCTTGTAAAGATTGAGGTAGGAATATTTCTGTTAATCACACACACTTTGGTAGATAACAGGTAGAGTAAGCTATAAGCGAGCCAAGTTATAGGAAAGCAAGTCACAGCCAAATACTATATATATATATATATGGGTGTATAGATAAGTTAAGGTTATTTAAGATAAGATCATTTATATAAGTAAATACGCCCAGGCGCCGTTTTATTTAAAATAAAACATTATCTTATTATTATAAATGGAAGACTATGTGGAATCTACCGCCTTGATTAACGGCACGTGCTATGCGAATATAGCAGACAGACGGCGACCAAAATATATTTATAAAGAAAAAGACGTATTCTTCAGCCAGCGGGGACTTCAAATACCCTACAGCTGAGTATATAATTAGTTGCATATTATTATAATAATTCTAATATTAATAAGTAAAAAGCAAGCTACTAGTTTAAGTTCCTTTCGTATAAAGTTCATTCATTTGTTCAATTGCATGTTTGTTAATCAAATTTTATAAAATATAAAATATAAATATATATTTTTGCAGATAGACTGGTAATTTAAATACCCTACAGTGCTGTGTACAAAGATTATTATAAGAATTTAATTTGATAATAGAAATTATTATATAAAATGAACAATATGTCATCCATGTAAAAATATACCATCACCATTACTCATATATAATATTATAGCAATATCATCTTTCGTAAGACTAACAGCAAGCGCATTAAATATATTGAAACGCTTTGATTGTGCGCGTGCGTTATAGACGTTCAAATTTGTTGTTTAACAACCTGTCTGGATGCCGTATATATGTTCATATGTATGTATGTACAATAATCGTACGACATGTTTGGTCATTTGGACGATTTGATACTGAACTTGATTCGCACTTTCGCTGACCTTCGCCGGAGTCGACAATGACAGCTGGGGCTGGGGCTGCGGCTGCGGCTGCGGCTATCGGCCCAGTTATCAGGGCCTTGGCGAATATCTATCAGCTCTATCTATAAGCTCTCACAGTGTGGCATCTAAGTTTTGTTTTTAGTTTTTGTTATTAATTAATTAATTATGCCAAAATGACGGCAGACCTGAACTGAAGTTTTTAATACGAAATTCGTCTTATCACAAACTATAAATATTTTATATATATGTTTTAAAATTGTATAATTATAAGAGTGTGAAGGAGAGAGAGGACAAGTTAGAGAGTGAGAAAGAAAGCGAATGAGATTAGATGCTATGCAAAAAGAGTCTATTGATAAACTATTGATACAAACTTTGAGGTAGAGCTGGAATAAGCTGGGTGCGACTCGAGGTGCATTATCAGATAGCTGTAGATAAATTAATTTTTAAATGAATATTTCTTTCTGTCTATATTATTATCTATGTCTCTATAAGTCTATATATATATACCTCCATTCAAATGCATCTATAATACAATGAATATTTATAATTTTAACTATGTCTATATTTTTATCTATCTAATATATATTGTTATAATTATGTCACATATTTAATAATA